ATACATGTAAATGTTATCACTTATTTCATATATTTCTATGTATTTAAAGGTAACATTACCTGAAATAGTAATAACTTTATGTAATGCTATTACAATTTCAGATATAAGTGGCTTCACAATTACGGTCCATAACTAGTCATCATTGTTGGTCACTTCAATAGACGATAAGCAGTAATTCAATGTCACTGAATAGAAACACACAAATATTCAATACCTAATCAAATTTCTATGTAATATTTTTAATTTCATTAAGGCAGTGGTTCGCTATTTAATAGTTATATCTATGAATAATGTTTAAAACAACGATTTATTATAGGATAATGTACTAAATAATTTAGAATTCCACAACCTTCAGTGACTAAGCTGATCACAAGCACCTTATTGCAACGATAATAAGCATGAAGTGTTTATTTATTAAATATGGTTCCAATCGTAATCAAACCAGATATTAATTAAATAATAATAATTATTTATAACCACATCATATGTTTGTTTTTTTTTAAATTAAAATATGTATATTCTCGTAACCTCACAATTTACGATTCACAATTTACGAGAACGTATATTTTAGAATAAGCTTTTACGAGGGTCTAGACTCTAGACCCTCTTAGGGCCTGTAGATTATTCTGCTAGCTGAAGACGTGCATAATATGTGGATATAGAATAAAAGTATGTAGAGATTTCATTAATAGTTAAAAGTATAAAAAGAAGTAAAAGTATTTTGACAAAAAAACGAACTCGATCTATTTTTAAATGTTTTATCAAACATACGAACTCATTCTATATCAAAACTTTTTTATGTAGCTAGTTTTTTAGGGTTATTTGTTGGCCTTATCCGTTAGATCGATGAAAATGGATGCTCTAAACGATTTCACTTACTACATTATATATTTAGTTTGGGGTAAAAGAAATCCATTATTTTTATATTTACTTCAGGACTTTATATTTTAACATGCTTGGATTATCCGATTTGGATTAAATAGGGTCCGTTTTGTTGTATTATTTATTGTTATTTCAAATTTAACTTTATAATGTCTCTCTCATAATGTCTTAGTCTCAATGTGAAAAAAAAAAACCTAATATGTAGTCGTTTTTTATAATTTTCCCTAAAAGCAAACTTTTAATCACTGAAATTATTCAATATACGAAAAGAATGGTAAAAGCTTCTTGGTGCTAAATCTGGACGGTGTTACTATGTGGTACTATAGATATGTGTGGCCTCGCGTTATTATGATAGAAAACAACACCTCTCCTGTTTGCCAATTCTGGCCATTTTAGGTCAATGTATATCTTTAATTGTCAAGTCTTGTGATTTCTCCAATTATATCGACAATTTCGACCACCAATCTAACTGTGCGAATTTGTCATAAAAAAAAAATTGAATTACATGAAAAGTCTCTGAATAGAATGTACATTGTACACAATCAAAATTGCATGTAATTGCCTCATACAGTATAGGAACCATAAATAATATTCACAATTCTTGCATTTTCGCCGTTGTTCAGAAAAAAATCTGTAAAGTGTACCGAAGTTTCTCTTTTTTCATTTACATTTTCAACCCCAAGACACAAATGAATTCATGAAACAAAAACCAGTAAAAGAACTTTTTTAGCCATGAAAAGTCAACTTTGTAATGATTAAATAAGTCTGAAATTATTACTTCGATATTTAACGAAAAACCAATTGCTTGCTAGGTACATGCAAAAAAATAAGGAATTTCTTTTTTGCCTGCCTTAATATTCTATTTTTAATTATTTAATGGTTATCTCGTTATTTATAAACTCTTTCAACTAGAAGTTTGAAAAAAAAGACGATTGATATCTTTATAAGTACCATGTAATATAAATTTCCCTTGGTTTATTATGAACAACAATAAATAAATAAAAATAATGTGTACATATATCAACACATAAATCTTTGGTTACGTAGGATACTTATGTGGTCGACTATTGTATAAAATTATTATCCTCAAGTTGATATAAGTGAATATAAATATATGCCTATTCAAACACGATTCATCGATGTGAAATTTCAGATTCAAAAACATTAATAAATTAATTAAAATACATATATGTAATGAAAACATAAAATCACTAATGGCAAGTGGTTTCAGGTTTGCTTTGTGAATATTTAATTCTTTCTGTCTTTAAAATACTAATACACTTTGAACTAACTAAAACATAGGAAGCGCCATAATTCGTAGATAATTATTAATTATCTACGAATTCGTAGATTCATCACATAACAATTTCAGTAACATCCAATCGTGTAAGGAGGATTTTGTTGCGAAAAACCCTTGATAAGTTTGCATTCTTCAAAACATATTATATTCTTAAATTCTAATTTGTCAAATAACTGAATTTCTATCATTCAAAAAATATTTATATTTTATTGAAAAATAAAATCAAGGTCTTGTTATAATATGACTTCATAGAAACTGTTTATATATATTTAAGGGTTATGAAAAAAGATTTTCAAGTTCTAATAAGCAAATCCAAATCCATTAATGAATGTCATAACTTATAAATAGGAGTAAGAGAAATATTATAACAAGTCTCTTTACTGACATTAATCAGCGGGGAATGAACACAACTGGTTGATTTGCAAAATGTTATATTAGTCTCAAAATATTGCGTTTAACATAATATATTTTTTAAATAACGTAAAAACTGTGTAGTTACCATTTATGTAATTATACATATATATGTATGTACCTACTTATAATAACCAACATCTACATAGTTTACATTCAAGGAACGGTTTAGAAATATTTTTAAAACAAATCACCAAAAACTGAAACCTACATACATTATTTCTATTTTCATGAAGTTACTTTTACTTTTAACTAGATTAAAAGTATGTATTTTACGTAAACCATAATCAATCATCCATTACCTAGAATATTACGAGACAAGTAGAGGACATATTCGTCAATTAATAACTGTGACTTTGCTTATTATGTTTAGAATATTAATAATGGTAATATATATTAATGTTCTATCAGCCTTTTATGTACAATAAATTAGTGACGAGACGTTTACTCTTCAAAACATCATCTCATTTGTATTATCGTTTATTCTTGCTCCTTGAGTAGTAGAAATTAACAGAACAAGTAGTCCAATAACTATCAATCTTTAACATACAGATTCTTTATTATGTTTCATAATATTGTAAGGTTTTTCGAGGTCATAATATAACATTCTGTATTGTTCTCATTATAACAGACTTCATCCCATATTGATACCTTATATTGATAAAATCAAAAGTATCGGCTTGTTTCTTATTTTTAGTGGTTTTTTAATTTATTAATATTTTTTTATATTCTCTTTCACTTAAAGTCAAATCTTTGAATTTATGATTTATTAAGTATCAGGCAAGCTTTGAGTATATTAAAACCTGCTAGCAATTATAAGATGATATTAAGAAATACATTATCAAACACCCTAAAGACACGATATACAAATAAATAAAATAGCTAAATCTAAATGTAATTTATTTATTTATAAAACAGAGATCAATTTACTTATTTCTCCAGTTCACTGATGAATGAGGACTCATCAGTACTAATTTATTGAATCGTACCGTGACTTTGACTGCTTTAGTACACTATATACATATTTACCGACTTGAAAGTAACAGAGTTAAGATATCTTATAATAATAAGATTAAAATAGTTCATTAGACCCTAAATAAGTCTACTCTTCGGTTAAGAGTTTTATTATGCCGTCGATTTGATGAAAAATGATTTTAATCGGTATATTATTATAAAAACTTTTTAATTAACCACTTACTTCACATTTTAACTATATAACATGTAGATTTTGTGACCCAAACTATATGATTTTTTTTAAATTTCCTTAATTTTATACTACATTATATTATTTATTTATTCATTTATTATATATAAATAAACAAAAAATAAATAAATAACATAAATTTTATGTTCATAGGTATAATATAGCGTCAATCACTCGTACTTTTTCAGAGTTACTGATGTTATTATAATTAGAGAATTAATAAAGTTGTAATTCAATTATTTCTGGTTGCAAAGTAATTAATTACCAGCGATCCACTTATCCCACAAGTATCGAAACAGATGAGTATAAAGTTATTCGTGCTTTAATTATTTTGTTATCCATTTAATAACGTGATTAAATGAAGATCATTTAAAATTACGAAAACATTTTAATGACATTTCAATTAAAATAAAAGAAAAATAAACAAACATTTGTTGAATTATTGAAATAACCACACGGATCTTATAAATCTAATTTTAGCCAACTTGTCTTCTCGCCTTTACTTTACTTTTTGCATACAGAGTGTTTCTGATCTTAGGATTTAATGATATCTCGAAAAGAAAACCGTGATTATTGAAAGCAATATTTGTTGTATTGCACATAAATTAAAAAATTAAACTAAATATACAAAAAGAGTGATACACATAAAAATATATATAAAAATTACTACGACATATTTTTATATCTTAGTCTTTACCAGTGGTGTAATATTGATTTCACAAATTTTACGAAAGGTTTTTTGTTGTACATTAACAAGATTAACAGCCTTCAATCTGTCTCAAACCAACCCTCCTTAGAATTGACATGCTTTAATTAGCACAAATAAGATGGAAGTTAAATTGGATGATGCAAAAAACAAGTCTGGGAGACAAAAATGTCGTCACGGGAAGAATTAAAAAAAACAGTAAAGTTATAAAAAGATAAAATGAGAGTACCTATTTGTAATGGCAAAGAAAAAAAACTCGAGATAATATCTTTATTACTTATGATATCATTAGATCGAATGTTGTTGAAGTTTTCTGATAGTTACTAAAGTTAGCCATCTACATATATAAACTAAATACTAAGTTTCAATAACAAGTCAGATGAAATTAAATTCTTAAAATAATTAATAATGATAATATTTTAGTAGAATTTTTGTCGATTAAATTATTTTGTTTGAATTCTAACATTGAATGTTAAGATTTACCATTTAATTCATAAATGATAAATCTAGTTGGGCAAATCATCGACCAACTGATCGACCAACTGATCGTCCAACTGATCGACCAACTGATCGATCAACTGATCGACCAACTGATCGACCAACTGATCGACCAACTGAACGACCAACTGATCGACCAACTGATCGACCAACTGGTCGACCAACTGATCGACCAACTGATCGACCAACTGATCGACCAACTGATCGACCAACTGATCGACCAACTGATCGACCAACTGATCGTCCAACTGGTCGACCAACTGATCGACCAACTGATCGACCAACTGATCGACCAACTGATCGACCAACTGCTCGACCAACTGCTCGACCAACTGATCGACCAACTGATCGACCAACTGATCGACCAACTGATCGACCAACTGATCGACCAACTGATCGACCAACTGATCGACCAACTAGTCGACCAACTGATCGACCAACTGGTTGACCAACTGATCGACCAACTGATCGTCCAACTGATCAACCAACTGGTCGACCAACTCGCTTGTATCTAAAAACAAACAGGGCCTAACCCTCGCAGCGTCTACTCAGCATTACACAATCCAGTATCCAGTATCCAATATTTGAATCCAGTTCCGGTTATGAATCTTTAATACATATATGTAGGTACAAAAAAAATAACACGATTCTCATATAAATTTCTTTAACACGAACGAGAAAAACTTGTACAAGAATTTACTAAGAATATAGAAACTCTGGATAATAAATGTATTTACTGGCTGACCTTTGTGGATGCAACATCTATGCGTGACATTTGATTATTAAGAAAAAATGTTGGTTAAATGAAGCCATAATATATATATATATATATATATATATATATATATATATATATATATATATATATATATATATATATATATATATATATATATATATATATATACATATTACTTAATATATGTATAAAATTAATATTTTTTATTTATTTATATGAAATTGGTCAAGAAATTTCTTTTCTACTTTAATCAAATGAACAGATGTATTCAAGGTGTAATGCTTTTGGCTTCTGTAAATTTTTGTTGTACTTACCTTTTTTGAATAAGTAGAAAAATATCATAGGCGTATATATATGTATTTCAGAGTTTTTCAATTCAGAATCGTTTCACTAATACATGAAACTTAAGAATTAGTTATTCATGATACGAGTAGTTAACTAAAATATATTTTTACTATACATATACAGGGTGACTGGTGAATTACTATCAATATTTAAGGAGCATACTCGGTACATGATTCTCATTCGAATTATGTAAAAAAAATAGGTACTTAATTTTTGACCAAATTTCCGTATAAATAAATAAAGTGTGTACACGTTCCAAGTGTTCGAAGTGTGGACGCGTGCGGCGGCGTGCTGATACAACACTACGCCGCCGCCGCGTCTGTGTGAGTGTGTGTATATACCTAATCTGTAGGGTGTTCACACGATGCGTAATTAATTACATAGCTTTTGGTTAACTTTACTTAGAAGTTTATTAATATTTATGTTATATTAATTTTTATTTTGTCATATATGATCGTCAAATATCACGTCCTCAAATATCGATAGTAATTCACCAGTCACCCTGTATAATTACTACATTTTAATTTTTGTGTCGCTTTTCACGCGTCATACCTATATGTCGGTAATACCAAAAAATATATGCTCATATAAAGAAAAATATACATCTTTCAATCAACAATCATATTTCTATAATCTAGATTATCTTCTATATATATGTATATATAAAAATGGATTGCTGTTCCTTAGTCTCGCTGAAACTCGAGAACGGCTGAACGGATTTATCATATCTTACTCTTGAAATGTTCGTGGAGGTTCAGGAAAGGTATAAAAGCTGAAAAAAAAAAAAATAATTTCCGGGAAAACCCTAAAAACAGCGCTAATCTATTTCCCATACAAACGGGTTTTTTGACATTAGATTTGACAACTAACTAATATGTCAATCATTCTGTCGCACTTTAGAACACGGAGATTTATGACTTAAGCTTTAAAGGTAAACTCCAAAAATATAATTAAGAAATAATTTAATTCTTGATTGAGGCAGTACGAAGTCTGCCGGGTCAGCTAGTTATCTATAAATCCAAACAGTTTGCCTGATCAGCTATTACTACATTACTAATTTTAAAACTATAGCGGACAAAAGTTAGTATAAATTATGTAATATCCATCTGGGTACACTGTGTTCAAATGTTTAACCTGATATTTTGACATACGTGTTACAAGTGGCGCCATCTGAGCCGTTCTAATTACAATATACTCACTATAATCCTTCGAATTCTTTTTATGTTTAATTATAATTAGTAACAATGCTCTACTGATCTAATTTTGTAATTGCAACATTTAAGTATCAAATATTTTACTGTATTTGTAAACCCTGAATATTAAGAATGAAGACTGAAACTGTACTTCGAATTTAATATAACTAGAAATTATGGTTTATTTTTTTATTTTAAGATTGTTTAATATAAAATACTTATTAAACAATAAAGTACTTTACATTATTCCAGACATACTAATTTGCAGAATTAAATTTCATACAATGCAGATAAAAAAAATTACTTGATAGATGTATATTATTTTTGATCACCAACCAAATCCCACTAATTGCGAAAGTTTGTGAGTGTGTGTGTATGTTTGTAACTTCTTCACGCTCAAACGGCCGAACCGATTATGATAAAATTTTGTACACAGCAAGCTGACGTCCAGGAATAACACATAGACTACTTTACATCCCGGAAGTCCGCGGGTAACACCGCGGGGCGCAGCTAGTCATTTAAATAATTCTCAAAGTTATATCCGCATGATAGTTCACTCAGTCGCTTTGCAGACCCTTTGTAGCTGACCCTTCCACAGCACAATCTTGTCTACTGTTTCTTTAACTATGCTGAACTACAAGAACGCACAACTGATGACCTTGTGTTCTTTCTTTTGTTTTTTTAGTTAATCAATTAATTCATATTGCAAATCATTTCAAACTTTGTAGTCGCATTTCTTATTTGTATTCAATTGTCTTTGTCTTGATTTAATTCAAAATGTACTTTCTCAACCTATTTTATGTAACAAAGGCTATTTTATATTATTCGTAAAGAGCCTATGCGAAGCCGGGGTAGGTGCCTTGTATATATAAAAATGAGAACGTCAATATATCAAAGCATGTTGTGTTTAACATGCAGTTGAAAACAAAATCGAGTTACGAACGAAGAAGCTTGATGAAAAGCCGAACCTTTATACACGCGGTGATTTTTTTTTAGCTTTCCGCTTTGAAAGAACGATCACTGGATTTTTTTATGCCGATTAAGATACAAAAATTAAATACTTATCCGTTCATATATTCAAGTGATTTATAAAAATAAGGACGTTAAAATTTAATATGTAATAACTAAATGCAGTTTTTTACATAGCTCTTACTCTTGTATTTCATTTATATTTTTTCATGTAATATAAAAGTATTTTTGTATTTATTTACACGCACATAATGTTAAAAGACAAAAAATATTAATGAAGGTTTCTTATTAATTCTGTAAGACAATTTGGTAAAGAAAAACAATTGTGTAATAGGTTCAGCTAACTTGAAAGAACAAAGCTATTCTATAGCTTGGACTTTAGGACCGGTTTGTGTACTATATATATAATTATATTATTTCTTTGTTCTAAGACCAAAAGATCGTAAAAGGTTCCGAATTAACAGTGTCGAACAGTCATGGTTTATTTAATTTTATGTACGCGTAATAGTGATAATAATTCAATATTGCACGCAAATCCTGGATATCCTATCCTATATCCTGAAAGTATCCTGGATATATAGAAATTCATAGCTTTCTTAAGTATAAAATAGCAAGCACATTTTTAATGTAAAATTTTTTCAATGGCGGTTTGCTACTCCTAATGATTAAAGTACACATTTATCTCTTAACACAAACTAAATGTTTTTAGTAAGAGGATAAAATTGTAACATAGATATTTTAATAGTTCCAAAACGATGGAATATTTTAACATTTTGTTAACAATAGCTTCATGTTTTTTGTCACTTTCCCTTGCTGGTGTCACAAACAAATACAGCCAAATGATAAAACAGACAGCGGTACATGTCAAAGGCGTGCCCTTTAAATGGTATTTTTTGCTCGGTATATAAAAGGATCTCTGAATTTTAAGTATCATAAAGATACGTTCTAATGATTTCTATGACTGCATAGATAAACATAACATATGCACATACTTAAAAAATTCTATGCGTGGGTTCTATACACTAAACCAATTGTTACAGACCATTTAAAGAGTTAAATTGTTTTGCCAATGAAAATAATTTTGTCCAAACTACACGTTTATATTACTCTAAAAGTAGTGTTAATGTATGTATATACTCCCGACGTTTCGGTACCTTTGTAGTAACCGTAATCACGAGCAGATGAAATGAAATAAAGATATCATTCAGTAATTACTTTTTAAAACTCGGAAGAGGCTTATTATGTCTTGTATGAAAGTTGAAATGAACACACATAATATGTTTATATTACTTTATTCAAGATTTTATATCTATTTTAATTCTATAATATTTAAAGTATGTTCTTTTTTTATAATATTAACATCATATTCATCGTCAATATTGTCCAATTGTTGATTGAATATTTTTTTAGTTACTCTTCGTATATTGGTTTTAAATTCAATAGGAATTAATTTATTTACTTCTTAGATGCATAATGTCATCAACGTAACGTTTTATTATTAAATGAAGTTAACTACTATAATAAGTCTTTGTGGATTAAAGTTTAACTGTAAGATCAACTATTTAGAACTTCAAGTATCTTACTAGTTTTGATAGAATAAACTTCAATAACTAAGATACAACATATAATTATTTAATTATATGAAGTTTAAGTTGACTCGCTTTTTAGAAAAAAATACTATTATTGATATAAAACTGTATATTCGAATATTTCAACAATGCTTTTAATCTTTAATGTTACTAGAAAATAATATATAGACATAAAATCAATATATTTTTTTTTTATTAAATTTTATTAAAATCATGAAAGAAAATATTCAATTCCTGAATTAAATGTCCCTGGTCTGTAAACGATTATACTTTCTCTAGGAAAAACTTTTTGTTAATTCTAATTAATAAAGTCCCACAGAAACCTGCACATGAGATGTGATGGTACGAAAATATTTTCTCTGCGAATAAAATATCGCACATAATTTTATTAAAATTCAGTACCTTACTACATTTCTGTATTTCAATATAAAAAAAAACTTAAACCAATATTCTGCGATTTGTTTTTGAACAAGACAAATGATCTGTGCGAAGAATGTTTTGATTTATAAATGAGAGTATTAAGAGTTATTTAAAAACAGTTTAACAATAAGTAGAATAGTTTAACAGTATAACAATAGATTTTAGCTATAGTGTTTGTTTATATTTACTATTGTTTATCGTCATTAATTAAAAAAAACTAAAGATTTACTATCGTATAATTCAGTTATATTCAAATGCAA